GGTAGATAGATAGATAGATAGATAGATAGATAGATAGATAGATAGATAGATAGAAAAATGTATCAGTGACTGTGAGTTTTGCAAAACGTGTCATAAGAATATTTTATTAGTGTTAATGTTAACCCCACCAAGAATATTTAAATACACTGAGCCATGTGTTAAGTTTTAATGGCTGTACGCTTAAGATTTACAGAGGAAAAAAAATATGAGAATGAGTTTAGTATTCAGCTCTGACTGATTAAACGCGCAGATACTTCATTGCTCCTGACAAACAGGTTGCACTGAGTGGAGCGGTCGACCGTTCCAAGATGGCGGCCCTAGGCGCAGACGAGCCGTGCTGTTTCTAGCTTTTATATGATATCTATGTTCCCCACCCTGAGTTTTTCTCAGGAAAAGAAAGTGAAAGTAAAACTTGGAGAAGAAGTTTGTTCTGGTTGGGCGTTGGTTTGGTGTCTGACTGTATCCGGGTTTGCGCTCTATAATAATTAATAAAAAATAAAAAAAACAGATGTGAAATAAATACCTGCCCAAGCCAGCAACAAATGTTGGGGGATTTTTTTAAATATCTTTATGCTTAAAAACGCTTGTGTGTGTGTGTGCGCGTGTCTTTATGCTTCTGTAGTTTCAACTCATCCTAGACACAAGAGGGCGCTGTTGACCCAAATTTTTAGCTGCAGGTTTTAGTATGCACGCACTCACGCACACATAGAGCAACTGATGAATATTCAGTTCACAACATCCTGAAGTTATTAAGAACTGCTGAGTGATAAGACTGATGCTGTCATCAGTGTGTGTGTGTGTGTGTGTGTGTGTGTGTGTGTGTGTGTGTGTGTGTGTGTGTGTGTGTGTGTGTGTGTGTGTGTGTGTGTGTGACCTTGAAAGCAGTGGCTTGCTGTAATCTATAATCAGTGTTAATTAACTATTTAATTGACAACATCAGCAGTGATTTATTTATTTATTTGTTTACTTACTGGGTTACAAGGTTTTGCAAACTTTCAGTAAACAAAAACACTGAATATGTTATAAATTCAATTAACTCTCAGCTTTCTCTCTCTCTCTTGGAATGGTTTTAAACAACAATTGTTTAGAAGAAGAAGAAAGTGCTGTTTCTTTAAAATGATTAAATCGCTTCATTTAACCCATCACACCTGAGATGCACCCAGGTGGAGCAGCGGGCAGCTATGTAGGCGCCCCCAGGGGAGCAGTTAGGGATTGGGTATATTTTCTCAAGGACACCATGAGATGTGGTGGTA